TGGCCATGACCCCTTCGCCAAAACCGTAGTGGAGTACATCGAGCAAGGTAAAACTCGGCGGTTTTGGATGAAGGATGGGCTCATCATGACCAAGGGAGAGCGGGTGTTCGTGCCAAGATGGGCCAACTTGAGGAAAGAGATCATGAAGGAGTGCCATGATTCCAAGTGGGCGGGCCATCCCGGCATTGAGAGAACGCAAGCGCTCATCGAAGAAGCATACTTCTGGCCGCGTATGAGAGACGACGTGGAGATGTATGTGAAGACTTGTCTTGTGTGCCAACAAGACAAGATGGAGCAGAGAAGCCCGGCAGGCTTGCTAGAGCCCTTGCCCACGCCTCAACGACCATGGGAGAGTGTAAGCATGGACTTCATCATCGGACTTCCCAAAGTCGATGGATGCGGTTGCATCATGGTTGTGGTGGACAGGTTTTCGAAGTATGGAGTGTTTATTCCCGGGCCAAAAGACTTAACGGCAGAGGATGCGGCACATCTATTCTTTAAGAACGTGGTCAAGTATTGGGGCATTCCTAGCAGCATTGTGAGCGACAGAGATGGGCGCTTCACGGGCAGATTTTGGCGAGAGTTGTTCAAGATCATGGGCTCAAACTTGAACTTCTCGACGGCATTTCATCCTCAAAGCGACGGACAGACGGAGCGGGTGAATGCCTTGTTGGAGGTGTACTTGCGGCACTACGTGAGTGCAAACCAGCGAGATTGGGTGAAGTTGATGGACACGGCACAGTTCTCCTACAACTTGCACCGCAGCGAGTCGACCAACACGAGTCCATTCGAGTTGGCGACGGGGCAGCAACCTTTGACACCTACGACGGTGGCAACGGGGTATAGGGCAACAGTCCGGCGGCCTACAAGTTCGCTAAAGGCTGGCACGAGAAGATGGAGATGGCCAAGTCTTACTTAGCCCGCGCTAGTAAGAAGATGAAGAAATGGGCGGACAAGAAGCGGCGGCACTTGGAGTTTGAAGAGGGAGACATGGTGATGGTCAAGTTCTACCCTCATCGCTTCAAGCATCTCAAGAACGTGCACAAGGGACTGCTTCGCCGCTATGAAGGGCCATTCCCCATCGTGAAGAGGATTGGCAATGTGGTATACAAGGTAGAGCTGCCGACGCACTTGGAGATCCATCCGGTCTTTCATGTGAGCCAACTCAAGCCTTACCACGAAGACAAGGAGGACGAGCAACGAAGAGAGTCGCAGCGCGCTCCAACACTCGTCACCAAGACACACGACCATGAAGTCGAAGAAATCATGGCGCTTCGTGTCATTCCTCGTCGTGGCGTACATCCAAGCTTTGTGGAGTACTTATTCAAGTGGCGCAACCTTCCGGAGAGTGAAACAACTTGGGAGAAAGAGCTCACGCTTTGGAAGAACAAGGACTTGATCGAGGCATTCCATCAAGAGGACGCGACGAGGGCGTCGCGAGCATAGGTGGGGGAGGATGTCACATGTGGCAGATGACATGGCGCCAACAAGGCGGCTGCACATGTGGCATGCATGGAAGACTAGTAGCTTAGAGATGCTCCTAGGATTCTCCACCTAAATGAGAGCTTAATGGTGCACTTATGGGCTACATTATGGGTAGCATTATTAGAGTGCATTATGGGGGGACTTTATGGGGTGTATTGATGTAGAGGGACCATTATGAGGGGCATTGATGCCTTGTATGAGGAGAGGCCTATATAAGGAGCCATCTCCCTCACTTGTAACTCATTCCATCATTTTTTAGAGTAATACACACTAGAGAGTTCTCCCAATCCTTTGTCTTTGTTCTTGTTCTTTGCTTGCTTGTGAGTTTGAGAGAAAGGCGGCCTAGCGCTCTAACGGAATTGAGAGCTAGGGCCGCCCGATCGAGAGTAAGGTCGTGACAGTATCCGCAGGAAATTGGGTACTGAGAACACATCACAAAGTAAGTTGGCACCTAAGTGTTTTCTTGGCATAATTAGATGTAGTTAGATAGTCAATATCAAAGAGGGGAATAAGCCTTATATACAAATTAAATCTTATATATCAATATTCTCAATAGTTCAAGAAATTTGTGAGCTATTCAGCTATGATTCTATGAATTTGTTGGCTAAATTTCTTATTGGTAAAGTTATTAATCATTTAAACAAAAGTGTGGAAGTGTAGTAGATTGTTATTTCATTCATCATGTAGTACAAAATGCTATATTTTCTTCCAACGCTTAGGCACGCTTAGTCTACGACTAGGCAAGCATGAGCTAGACGAAGCCCCAACACCCGACTTACGCCTAGCGCCTTCTTGAACCTACTTGTTCACCTTCCTCGCATTTTCTTAACAATTTTATATTTTATTGATTTTTTTTAACTAATTTTTTTCGTTCTCGTAATTTATTGGTGTACATTTTTGCTTATGTAATATTAGTATAGGTTTTTTTATTAATTCAGTATGTATGTAGTTGTTAACATGTTGAAGTTATATATAGAAATTATTATCCATGAATTCTCAAAATCCTTGAAATATAAAAATAGTTTCTCTTTTGAAAAACCACTCACTAGTAAATGTTGTAGTTCTTAAACAAATACTGAAAATAAATCTAAAAATGTATCAATTGGATAAGCGAGTTCAAAGTTACGATTGTCTGAAGTAGGGGTGGGCATCCGATTCGGTAAACCCGAACATACCTGACCCGAAACCGATATATTGCTGTTCGGTTCGGAATTCGGAAGAGGAAACTGGTTACTTCGAAAACCAGGATGCTCTCAACCGAAACCGGAATTCTGAATTCCGAACCGAAAACCGAAATATAGCCCACAACCTACTAAAACCCACCCACAACCACTCTCCAGCCCACTGAAACCCAGCCCACATCCACTCTCTAGCCCACTAAAACCATCAGCCCACAGCCAACCCCATCCTCTCCAAACCCTAGCCTCACATCCTCTCAAAGCAGCGGCTGCCACCCATCCTCTCAAAATAGCGGCCGCCACCGCCTAGTCGTCCGCCATCAGATCGGCCATCGCTCTGCCATCTTCTTCTTCATGCTGACACCACGACGGAAGAGGAGAAGAGCTCGCTAACATGCAAAGTTTATTCCACACCTGATTCGACCTGGATGCGGAGCAAAGAGCGGTCAGTAGAGGCGGAGAGGAAGGTCAGAAATCGAGGGAGAGAGTGTAGAGGCAAGAGGCGGAGAGAGGGATTGGTGGCGAACGTCTTCTGTGGATTCTTCAGAGAGAGCGAGAGGCAGAGATGAGGGAGATAGTGTCGACGGCGGGAGACAAGCGGAGAGAGGGGTAGAGGCGGAGAGTGAAGTCAGAAATCGAGGTGTGGTCGAAGAGAGTTTCCTAACGAGAGAGCGAGAGACAGAGAGGAGAGAGAATTTTCTGCCAAAAAAAAAGAGGAGGGAGAGAGTGGTGACGGAGAATATAAGAATAAAAAGATGAGATGTGGCCGGCGATGGTATTTCAGGTTAGGCCTTGAAACCGGACCGAACCGAGATATAGTTTGGTTCGCTCAAACCGAATCGAACTATATTTCAGTTCGAATTCGGTTTCAACTGTGGGATAGGTCGGAACCCCGCTATGCTCCATTTCGGTTCAGTTTGAACCGAACCAAACCGATGCCCACCCCTGGTCTGAAGTTTAGCAAAATCGGAAAATGTCGCGTTTGGAGATATAAACGAGAGCAAAATTAAGATAGTTAGAAGCTTCTATCTATGTTAGGTTTGTCCAGCAATTTTTGGGGCTATGTGCCTCGAATATCCACCCTGTTGAGGGTTGGTTCACTTAATTATGTTGCGATGCACTCTAGTTTACTCTCTACGTCAGTGAACTAGTATATACTTTCACTTAGACACTAAAACGAACTACGTCAAACGCTAGTATTTTGTAAAATGTTGTTGTAATTATTGTGGAGCGAAAAAGAACTTGATCTAATGATAGGGTAAATGCCGCATTTGGTCACTAACATTACTAAATTATGTCATGTTTAGTCACTAGAAAATTTTAATATCAATTTTGGTCACTCGAATTAATGAAACATGTCACATTCAGTCACTCTACCGTTAGCCTCCGGCAAACTCCAGTCACTCGAACAAACATGTCACATATAGTCACTCGAATTACTAACAGTTCACATTTAGTCACTCTCCCGTTAGTTTCCGTCCAACTCCATTAATGGAGTTAGACAGAAACTAACAGCACAGTGATTAAATGTGACCTGTTCCAGTAATTCGAGTGACCAAAATTGATTTTGAATTTTTCTAGGACTAAACATGACACGATTTAGTAATCTCAGTGACCAGTAATTCGAGTGACCAAAATTGATATTAAATTTTTCTAGTGACTAAACATGACACGATTTAGTAATCTCAGTGACCAAGTGTGGCATTTACTCTCTAATGATATTATTACTCATCTTGAATAAACCCAGGCTCGAATCACTAACTTTGCACAAAACAATCCTGGGGTCGTTTGGATTAGGTTTTTTATGAGGGATTTTAATCACAATTTCTCATTGTGCAGGATTTTAAACATTTCCGCGTTTGGTAAACATGAACGATTTTGCAATTAAGAATTTTAAAAACCTTCAAACGTGGGTTTTTGAAATAGGTGATCACCATCAGCTATTTCCAAATCCCTCATTTTTATTTCATTTTTTCCAAACCTTACCCCTTGCTTGCTTCCATCTCTCCTGTACGAGACCATCAACCTTCCTTTTCCTTTTTTTTCTTTCGTCTCTCTCCCAATTCATCCCGACAGACGATTTCTCACTTCTGCCGCCAGAAACACGTCTTTTTCCGGCAAATCGAGGGGCTCCTCGTTAACTTCACCCCACGACCCCTCTTCCTTTCTCATCTGTCCTCTATCTGCCGGCAATGACGAGTTCAATGAGTGTCAGGGAGATCACAATTTTTGGTTCAAGAAGACAGAAATTGGAAGAAGAGGAAAGGGGAAAGTAGAATAGACCCAACGTAGAAGAGAGGTTAGGAATTTGGGTAAAATTATATTTGTAATTTTTTTATTAAAATTTCTCATCTATTGCCAAACACGTTATTTTACCAAAATCCTACACTTAAATTACCATGGTTTTTAATGAGAGATTTGAGCCTCAAATCACTCGTTTTAAAATCCTTGATCCAAACGACCCCCCTATAGTATTGTGGGAACTTCCTGCGTTCGAGATTTGCCTTTCTCCTGAATCGTTTTTACTAGCTGCGGAAGATCAAATCCAACGACAAGGAACAACAATACACCAACAAGATAAAAAAGAGGCAACCAAATCAAGAATTCAGCTAAACTGCACCATGGCTTATTCCACAACTGAACTCACTCCTTCAAAGCAACAAATACCGAGGGACAAAAGAAAAAAGAAATAACATGGAAAAATCGCCAGTAGTGTACATACAGACTTTCTGGAGTTCTAAGAGTAGAGTACATGCACAAGAAAATGTTTCAATTCCAACAACAAAACCCATTGCTAAATCACTTTCGCACCTCCTGACAAAAAGACACTCAAGCCTGGAAAACAAAATCAGGGAAACCTTATATCAGCTTAGCATGGAGAAAGAAGACGAAGAAGCAGAGTAATCAACATACACTAATAATATTCGGCATACCTTGCTAGCAATGTTGTTGGAGAGCCAATCCAGCCCTTCATAGAGTCCCTCTCCAGATGTGGCACAAGTGCTCTGGATGTACCTGCAGAAGACGAGACAAAAGTTATCTCCAGTGTTTCTGATCAGAGCTAACTTGTGCACAAGAGGGTGAAACACTAAAATTGAGTAGAAGCAATGCAGTAGCAGCACAAGGAAGCAAAATGTGGAGATTATTGTGCTCCTACCACAAAGTCAGACTCTCCAGGCAGACCTAGAGTAACAACTTATTATTGCAGCCAATTAATTTCAGTCAGTAAACGTGGTCTCTCTTAAAACTCGAAGCCTACTAGCGACGAAAAGAGAAACTTTGTTTCACAACTGCTGAATTGCAAGCATTGACATCCTCTAAAGTCAGAATCACAAATAAACTTTTCCGAATTTGGTATTCGTTGAAGGAAGATGAGTAATAATTAACTCTTACCAGTGACGTTGTCTCAGAGAATGAAGGCCAAGCTTGTCGGTTATCTCAGCAGCATTCATTGCATTGGGAAGATCTTGCTTGTTTGCAAATACCAACAGCACAGCATCCCTTAGTTCATCCTAGCAAACCATGAGATCAATGATAACAGTGAACACCTTTCACACAGAAATAACTTCATGGCTGATAAAAGGATCTCTTACAAAGCTCTAATTACCTCATTCAACATCCTATGCAGCTCATCTCTAGCCTCAACAACACGGTCACGATCGTTGCTATCAACCACAAATATCAGCCCTTGTGTGTTTTGGAAGTAGTGCCTCCACAAGGGTCGGATCTAAGAATGCAAAAACAAACGGAATATATTACACATTCAGACAAGGCATGTCTTATGGAACTTCCATGGTAATCATCCAAGAAGAACTCAGCAACAGGCATGCTCAGCTGCTCACAAGCAAAAGCTCAACACTTTCTTTCCAGGATGCATAATTCAACACCCCCCTCACAATATACATCTTGCGAATAATACAGTCATTTTGATTCATATACTAAAAAAGTGATAATGTCCTCTTGATATAACCAAGCAAATCATCAATAGAAAAGGGCAGGATATACCAGCCAAAACCATCACAGCACAAGCAAACATCTGTATCGATCTGTATTCCAACAATTATTTGATAACAGTTCCGTGTGCAAATTCAGTAAGATGCACTTCATTATTAGGCAACCCACGAATCTAGAACGGCTTATTTTCCCAAAGTGAGAGATCCTTGAGAGAGGAGTAATACCTTGTCCTGACCCCCCACGTCCCAGACTGTGAAGCTGATGTTCTTGTACTCCACGGTTTCAACATTGAATCCTGAACCATTTAGCGGTAAAATCAGTGAATGATCTCGAGATGGAACAAGTAACAGGCAGAAGTTGCACACAGATCTGGCCATCTATTCCACAATCTACCACGTCTAATGGGAAAACCAGGCTAGCAAACAGGAAAAGAGAGGAGAGGAGAGAATACCAATTGTGGGGATAGTGGTGACGATCTCCCCCAGCTTGAGCTTGTAAAGAATGGTGGTTTTACCAGCGGCATCGAGACCAACCATCAGGATTCGCATCTCCTTCTTGGAGAAGAGACTGCTGAACAGCTTCGCGAATGAAAGCCCCATCTTTCTATACCAATCTACAAACCTGCCGCACATCCAAAAATTAGAACCCAAGAACGAAAGGGTTCAGATCGCAGTTCGACACTCGCGATGGAAAATTGCCAAAAGATCCAAGCTTGAAAGATCAAAACCACAGACAAAGAAGCGATCTTTGCAAGATCTAGGAAACAAGATCAAGAAAAGATCGGGGGTGAAGAGAAGAAAGGAGAGGGCTTTGCTTGCTTACCAGGATGGAAGAGAAGCGAGATCTGGATTGACGATTGGTTGAACAAGGCTTGAAATTCACGTCTTCCGATTTTGTAGATGGAAGGTTGAGAAATGAAGTTGATTCCTGACCTCCCTTTTCCCTTCCCTCGCAGAGGAAAAAGCGCAGTAATAGCAGTGGTCAGGAGGAGAGGGGAACAAATCGGGAGAGGGAGTGCTTTCAATCCCCAGATTTATTTATGTTTATAGCCCTCCTGAATCTGAATCTAATCTTTCATCCACCAAGCTTTTTTTTTTTTTTCTCCCTCACAAGTCACATTGCCTTTCTTTTTTCAGTTTCCATAAATTTTATTGAATAAATTTTTAGAGCATCTCTATTAGAGGTGTTTAAACAGTTTGGTTATCATGGTAACCGTTTTAACCAGAACTATTTGGATAATTTGGTTTGATTAATTTGGATAATTTGGTTTGATTAATTTGGATAATTGGTTTGGTTTGGTTTGGTTAAAGTTTTTAGCTTGTTTGGTTTAGGTGGTTTGGTTTGGTTTCAAACACTCCTAACCAGCCAAAAACAAATTAACCAGATAAATAATTAGTTATATATCTAATATATACACATACTTAATACTTTGAATAACCACTCAAGAGTTAAACGTTCATCCTTTTAGACTCATAAAATATAAAGCTTGATATTGTTCATATAATGTATATTTGTATATGTAGAGTGTAGACCACAACATATGACCGCCTAATTTAGATAAATCTCATACATTATGTTGGATGAAAACTTGAAAGCAAGGTCCTTTTCAACCTATGAAAATTGCTAAAATACTAAGTCAATTCAAACAAACACAACAATTCATTAATCCATATCATTGTGATAAAATTTTGTTAGGTGAATACTTCTATACCAACCGTAAGATAATTGTCTTAGTTGCATGTATTTATGTTAAGGGTCAACTATAACTATGTGTTGATTGTTATGTTTTATTCATTATATAAATTGTGAATTGATAAATTAACCGAAAACTTTCACTCTTAATGATAATATGATTTTATATTGGTTAATCTGGTTAACCAATTAACCAAACCGATTAAACTTTAGTTTGGTTAATTTGGTTGTTGTATTAATTTGGACGGTTTGGTTATGATATTGCATTCCATGTTTAATGAAATTTAGCCTTATTTGGTTATAACTATGGTAACCATTTGAACACCCCTATCTCCATTAGTGCAATTGTATTTGTAATTGTATTTGTGGTTTCTTTTTAAAAAACATCATTTTGCGGGATTTTTCTAATAATAGCACCTTTAAAAAAAATTACAAAACTAGCACCCATCCGAAAAAATTGACAGAAATAGCACCAATTTTATTGGAACGCACCCCTAGGGTGCGTTCCCAGCCACGTCATCACACGAAACGCACTAGGAAGGTGCGGTTTACATATTCTGCGGAACGGTCTTCAAGACCGTTGGATGGAGGAGCGATCGGAGGGCGGAACGCGCGCCAGCGGAGCGATCCGCGCCACGGATCGGGGAACGCAGCCCCGAGGTGCGGTCAAGCCTGGGGAAGCACAAACCGCCTCGGCAAGGCGCGGTTTCTATTTGGGCAAAATTACCCGACCGCCCCTGGAGGGTGCGGTCTGTTGGGTATAAATACCCCCATTCCCTCTCATTTCTTCACACCACAACCCACGTTTGTTACGTCTGTTATTCTGCATGGCATGTCGGAAATTAATTGACCAAAACCGCACCTTGAAGGTGCGGTTTGTATGGCAAAATCGCACCTTGGGGGTGCGGTTTTGTTTGGGAGAAACAAACCACACCTTCATGGTGCGATTTTGATAGGTCAGGCCAAAACCGCACCTCGGCCAAGCGGTTTCTGTAGGTCATACCTAAAACCACTTTGCCAAGATGCGGTTTTGGTCCAGGAATATGGACCGCACCTTAGAGGTACGGTTTATGTATAAAACGCACCCTTAGGGTGCAGTTTAAATATAAAACGCACCTCTAAGGTGCGGTCCATTAAAAAGGGTGCTATTAGTGTAAATTTTTTTGGCTAGGTGTTATTTTTGTAAAAAAAATTTAAAAGGTGCTATTCTGGAAAAATCCCCATTTTTTCAAGCCAACTCAATTTACTTTCATTGTACCTACATTGGTGCAATTAACTTGCAATTGCATATGGTGTCTAATTTTTTTATTACAAAAAAACAATTTATTTTATCTATGGTAAAAATTAAATCTATGACAATAAAAACCAAATGTTGCCATTGAAATCATAACAGAAAAAAAAAACAAAAAATGATAAAACTTTCTACCGTGGCTTGCAATGAGGACTTGCAACAAATGAAAGTTTCCATTTTTCCAATAGCAACTCACATTGGTGCAATGGAAAAATGCAATTGCAAAGCTCTGCCACGTCAAAGTGCAATTGCACTCTCTAGGACCGATGGAGATGCTCTTAGGAAACTAGAGTGCTATTAGTAGGGGGTGGGCATTGGGTAGGTCGGGTGGATTTTGACCATAAAACGCACTCATCCGCGCTTAGACGGATTGATAATTTTTAACCCACCATTCACACACATTTAGTCTCGTGTTGGGTCAGGCGGATGGTAGATGATGCTGGTGGGTTTGCGGGGTCACTCACATGACAATGTATATAATATAAAAGAGTCAACTTGAGATGATAATCGGTGGAGAGAATTATCAGGCGGAAACAAGAAGATGGAATAGGAAGAATAAAATGTCGAGTTAGTTTTGAAATTGGGTAGAAATTCTCGTTTGGAGGTGTTTTCTGCATATGGAGATGATTATCAAGTGCAGGGAACTAAGGAAAATAATTCAACGGGGAAAGAGAGGTGATCTAGGCACAAGAATGAGAGAAAAAATAAAGGGAAGAAGAGGGGATTGTGATTTGGAAGGTTGGCTTTGAGGTTCAATCTCCAGAAGCAGCCTAGTTTCTTCTAACATATACACTCTCCCCTCTCCAGGGCCAACGACTTTGTTATTTTTGCTGTTGAGTTGAGCAGGTCACCGTGCACCCGCCCACAACCCACCTCGCCAGCCGACGGATGGCTCCCAGCGCAACCCGTCACCCATCCACAGACTCACCCACAAGACAAAATTCGGGTAAAATGCGAGTGGGACGGCCCAAACCCGCGGGTGATCCGCCCGCATACCCAGCCCTAGCTACTAGGGTTGTTAATGAACCAAACTATTCGTGAACGGCTCGGTCTTGAACTCGATAAAAGCTTGATTCGTTTATTAACTAGCCGAAGTTGAGCTTAACCTTGTTGGACTTGTGAGGCTCGTGAACTAGCTTGATGAGGTGGTTTGTTGAGTTCGACTCATGAACTATCTCATTCTGAGCTCATGAGATGTCTCAACATTGTAACTAGAGAGCCAACTTGATTGCGGCTTATGATAAAATCGATCTATATCTTATGAGTTGGTTTGTTAATGATGCATATATTTATAAAATTTTATATCACACCTCATGTGATGTTTAATAATTTAAGTATGTGAGCAAATATGTCTCGTATATGACATGAAGATCAGTTAATCACATGTATCGTATATGACATATAAATATTAGGGTAATTCATAAATTATTTTAGAGTTGAGTTCGAATCGAAATTTTGTTTTAATGATGAGTTGAGATTCAATAAATGAGCTTGCTCATGTTTGGCTCGACTCAGCTCGTTCATCAACGAGCCGAGCTCGAGTTCGGCTCGTTTATAAATGAACCAAACCCGAACAAGGCAAAGCACGACGTCAGCTTTGTCGGTCATCGACCAAAAAACTAGGCATGCCTACGGGGCTAAGGGTGTTAATCAGTCGCCGATTATTCGGTTAAGCACCAAAAAGTTGGTTAATCTGATAACCGACAATCGATTATATCCTGCGGTGTCGGCGTCGGTTGCTGTTTTGGGGAAATCTGTATAACCGGCGGTTAGCGGTTAATAACCGCAATCTTGGTGGTTAACTGCAACAACCGGCGTCGCCCCACAATCCGAAAGAAAGAAAAGAGAGAGAGAGAGAGAGAGAGAGAGAGAGAGGGAGAGAGGGAGTTGGAGGAACGGATCGACGCTAGGGAGAAATGGAGGTGAATCAAGATGAAAGAGAAGGATTAACGGAGAGGCAGGTCGAGAAGTTTCAGAGAAGATGAGATCGGAGAGACAGGGTAAAAGGGTTTGATCGTATTCTTGGGAGGAAGAACAGAAGAGAGACGAGGGAGAAGGTTGACGAAGGGTGAGCGGTGCTTGAGGTTTAGGATTGAACTAGGGTTTGATTTGGGTCTTAAGAGAGACTATATACCCCTTCCGCCTTCCCCTAAAATGACTAAATTGCCCCTCGCTTTTTGTTAAAATTACATGTTGTCGCCTTCCTCTCCTTCCAATACGACCCAGAAAAAACCTTCAAACGCGCTAGGTTTCCCCAAAACAACCTGAAGACTGTGGATAAGGAGACCCTAAATCGCGAATTACTTGCAAGCGGGAGAAGACGCAAACCCTCTCAGTGCTTCCCTCTCGAGTTTCGAACCCTAACCCTCCCCAGTGTCCCCACCGCCAACCGTTATCTGCGCCCTGCCCGACATCTCCATCGCCACCTTCGTCCTCCAGATCCCAGTCCTAGTAATCGTAGACCATCGTCGCCATCGTCAGTCATCTCGCCATCGTCTTCCGTCAGCATCATCGCACCACCTGTCTTCATCCTTGCTCACTCCACAATCCCGCTGGTTTCGGCTAACTGCAACCCTAAATTGAAATTGCCGGTTGCGGTTTGCGATTAACCAAAGACTTTGTCGGTCTCAACTTTGGTTGTCGGTGCTGGGATAATTTTGGTTGTGGTTAACTGCACCGACTAACAGCCTATACGGGGCTATGGTGATTTCCAAATCACCATGATTTGGAGAAAAAGCTTTATCGATTTAGATAATCAATGGATCCTCTTGTCAATATGCATTTCATTTTCTATAATAAGTTAACTGCTTTCAAAAATTAGTGCACCGCTTCAGACAAACAGTTGATTACTTCTGGAAAAAGTTCAACCCGATGAGACATTTACCTTATACTTACAGTTGGGAAACAATGGACAACAAGAGAGGACTACAGATAAAAAATTGTTTTATAGTAATGCAACATTCAGTCACCCGTAGACAACCTGAAGAAGATTATAAGCTTGGTGGAGGCATTCAGGGAGTCCCTTGAGTTTTGTGGGCTTCTTAATTGCAAGTTTGAAGGTTATCTGTTCACCTGGGAGAACAAGATAGTAGAAGGTAAGTATATAGGAGGAAGACTGGATAGATGTGTGGCTACTCTATAATGGAAACAAATTTTAATCTCTAGAAGGTCACACATATTGAATGGGAAGGGTCAGACCACTATCTTATTATGTTGAACACTAAAGGTTACGAGTATGAAGATATAAGGTGGGGGTGGAGCTTCAGAGTTGTATCCTTTTGGTTAAAGGATAGTGAGTGTAAACAAGTAATTGAGAAAGTGTGGCAGTATGGGGAAGGAAATGGTGTTTGTGATCTTATGAAAGATTGTGAAACGATACTTATATGGTGGAGTAAGGAAAAGTTTGGGAGTTTAAGGAGAAGGATGAATAAAATAAAAAAAATCACTAGAAAGTTATGAAGGAGCCCAAAAACATATGTTGTTCAGGCACAACAAAGAGCTCT